GAAAAGGTACCCATACGTCTACCCTTCGGCCGTTTTCTCCTTTTGGGCCTCCTGGGAGGCCCTCGTCGCCACCGCTGGATTCGCCTCGAAATTCTGGTCACAACGCACCCCGGGAGAGGTCGGGGATTAGCGGTATCGGTACCTTTTCGTTTCCCCGATCTCCGCCCATGTCCTGCGTCCTCTCCTTCGGCCGGAGCTTTCTCGCACTTCCTCTTCCACATAGCCGTCGTCGGGCCTTCGGATGCTTCGCCGTTCGATGCCGCGTCCTGCGTCCTCTCCTTCCCTTTCCCTTCTCCCCACGACGACGACGGCGGCGACGACGACAACGAGCGACGAGCGACGAGCGACGAGCGACGAGCGACGAGCGACGAGCGACGAGCGACGAGCGACGACGATGGCGACGATGGCGACGATGACGAGCGACGACCACGACGGCGACGACGACCACGACGATGACGACGACGCCGAGCGACGACGACGACGACGAGGCTGCCCGCAGGCCGCCGAGCCATTGGCCTCGGCGCCGCCGTGGGCGCGCGCGCCGGCGTCGCCCCTGGTGCCGGCCGAGCGCCCGCGAGCGCGGCCCTTCGAGGACCCCTCCGTGGCCCGGCCCGCGCCGCCCTGCGGCGGCGCGCGCGAGGTTGTGGCGCGAGGCCCAGGCCCCTTCGCTGGGCTCGGCGGCGAGCGAAGGGGGGGAAGCGAGAAGGAGGAGGCCTTCTCTCGGAAGTCGGCAGGGCTTCTCAGAGGCCCCCGCGCCTTCGGAGGAGTCTTTCCCGCCTTCGGGGAAGGCTCAGGAGACTGCTTAGAAGGCCGGGGGGACTTCCGAACGTTCTGAGAAGGCCTTCCTCCTCACTCCCCCCCCTCGCTCGCCGCCGATCGTGGGCGGCAAAGATGGGGGTGATGACTGGGGGGGGGCGGACATCATGGCGGGGGTGGACATTATGGCGGGGGCCATGAGGCCTCCCCACATCTCATGGCGCCTCTTCTTGTTTCATTGCGTCCCCGCCCCCCGCCCCCTGGGCCGCGCACATGCCGCCGGCCATGATCTGCGCCGGCCTATCGCCGACCTCTCGGCGATGCATCGCCGATTCCAGGTCGAGCTGGTCTCCTCACGTTGTCCTTCAGTCTAGAATGGCTAGGCATGGGAATCGCTTGGACACGTGGCGAAGCGTATCTCGTGCTACAGGAATCAATATGGAGAGCCGATTCGCGACCGCGACGTGAGTTCGTGCTCGTGCTTTTTCTGAGGGTTACTGCTCTTCTCGTCCAGCCCACACGGGCGCGGGGTCGGCTCTGCTCGCAGTAGAGCCAGATGGACACTCGCTCGCTCGCTTGCTCGCTCCACCGCCGCCGCCACTTCCGCCTTCACCTGCTCCCTCTCCTCCCCTCTCCTCTTGAAACTGATGGAGTGCCTACGTATACCTAGGCTCCTGCTCCTCGCCCTCTCCTTCATCCCCCTCCCTCCTACGTGTCCCATGCCGTTTTGGTATTTGCGTGCGTATTTAGGGCCGAGCGGCCGCCCCGCCCTCGCGGCTCGAGAGCTGTGATGTTCCTGCCTGCTTTGGCCCTGTCGGGTAGGGGATAGACTATAAGGCTGATCTGCCCCAATCTTGCTTCTCTCGTCGAGTGTCCAAGCAACGCGTACAGTGCCAGTAGATCTACGAGCATTCTGCGGATTTTCGTACATTCGAAGGAGGAGGACGAGGAGGAGGAGGAGGAGGAGGACGAGGAGGGGGCGGAGGAGGAGGAGGAGGAGGAGGAGGGGAGGAGGAGGAGGAGGACGGAGGGGGAGGAGGAGAGGCGGAGAGAGGAGGAGGAGGAGGAGGAGGCCCGTCGGCGGTCAGAATGGCGGCGTCATTTGTCCAGGGTTGCCCTCCGTCCACTTGCGGGTGCCGTGCTCCGGGTAGCAGGCTCTCTCTCAATTTTTGTGTGTCTGTTTGCGTTCCTTCGCCGGGCAGTTATTTTTTGATGCCTGCTCGTGTGAGGTGCGCGCATAGTTGCGCCACTTCATCCTTTACGTATTTCATTTGCCTCTTGTGATAAGAGCTTGTGTCGACTGGCTGTTGTCATTTGCCCGCGGCAAACGGGCGTGAGACGTGCTCTTTCTTTACACAGTGGTGCGTGTCTGTTTGTCTGTATGTCCGTGTATGTGTATGCCTGCCTGTCTGTCTGTCGGTCTGTTACTTAGTTAGTCAGTTTGTCGGTCAGTAGGTCTGGCTGTCTGGCTGTCTGTCTGTCTGTCTGTCTGTCTGTCTGTCTGTCTGTCTGTCTGTCTGTCTGTCTGTCTGTCTGTCTGCCTCCTTCCCTCCCTCTCTCTCTCTCCCTCGTTCTCTCTCTCGGACCCGAGAGTGAGTGGGGGATCGGAGGAGTGGGGAGGAGGGGGCCGCCAGCTGGCGACGCCGGCGTGCAGTTCTCTCTCGTCCCGCCCCCCCCCCCTGTAGTCACTCGTCCTTTCGTGCGAAGTCGCGCGAAGCCTGGATGCGCCATCCCGGCCTCGCCCGGGAAGGGTGCAGACGCCGATCCTGGGCCCTGCAGTGGCCGCTGCCGGGGGTCCGGAGTCGTTGCACCGAGGGTGCCCTTTGTGCGGGAGAGCCCGCGCGGAGCCGAACGCCCGCGAGGAGGTCGTGTACGCCGGCAGCTCGATCGTCGACGGCCCAGCGTCGCCCTGTCGTCGTCGTTGTCGTCGTCGTCGCCGCCGTCGTCGTCGTCATCGTCGTCGTCGTCGTCGTCGTCGTCTTTTGTCGAAGTCGTCGAAGTCGTCGAAGTTGTCGTCGAGGATCTGGGGTGGGCCGTGCCCAGGCGGTTGGCTTGCACACTGACGGTCCGCCGTGACAAGATCAGGGATAGGGATCATATCGAGGCTGGTCAGCTTGTCCCTTCGTGCTCATGCCAGAAATGAGGGGGGAGCCCCTGGGGTCCAGGAGCTCGAGGAGGAGGAGGAGGAGGACAAGGAGGAGGAGGAGGAGGAGGATGATGAGGAGGAGGAGGAGGAGGAGGGGGAACAAACCATGGAATGAACATAACAACTCGGAGCTCTGCGAAACGCTGGCCTCCGGGCCCCCCCCCAGGGGCACCCTCTCCGGCGGCCCGCCGCCAGTTCCTGCCACTCACGCAACGTGCGACCGTCAGTCGCTCTCGTCGCCATTGGTATCTGTGCTGCGCATTTTCTCTATCTAGAACCGTCGCCTTCAGCTCACTCGCCTCTCCTCGCTCCGCGGGCGGCCCCCCCCCCCCCCCGTGGCCGCCCTGGCTTCGTGCCCAATGCCGCCTGGCGCGCGCCCAGCTGGGGCTGTCGGCCCCCGGCCCCCCAGGTCGCCCTTGCTCTGGGCATCTTGTGGCCCTTCGCCCCCTGGCGCCGGGTCGCCCCCCCCGTGCGCCCGCCTTAGGCGACCGCGCTGGGGTCTCTCGGCCCTCCCCCCGCTGTCTCCTGTCGCGAGACCGCCGGAGCGCCCGGGGGGTGTCGCCGCTGCGTCTGTCCCCCGCGGCGCCTGCCCAGCCGCCTTGCTCCGCTCTAGGCGTTGCTCGGGCTCCCCCTTTGCCGTGGCCCCATCTCTAGCCCTGCCCCAGCGTGCGAGGCCGCAGGGGGGCCCCCTCGGCCCGACGCGCTGGCCTCCGGACTTCCGCCCCGGGGGGTCACTTCGGCGGGCCAGCGACCGTTTGTCGCTCCTCGTCGTACTAGACCTGCGGCCGTTAGTCGCCTTCGCCTCGCTCTCTCCGCTCCTCCAGACCCCGCGTGCGAGGTCGCAGGGAAAGCCCCTCGGCCCAGGGCGCTGGTCTGCAGGCGTCCCCCCCGTGGGGGTCTCCTGGGGCGTCCCAGCGGCCCGCTCATCGCGCCCCGCCTGCCGCCTGCCTCCCGCCCCCGCGCGGGGTCGACGGGCACCTGGTCCTCAACCGTCGCGCTGCGCATCCAGTGCAGTCCTCAGCTGAGCCCTCCTGCCACCTGGGCGGCGCGTGCCGCTCGCGCCCGCCCTATCGGCACTTCCCCTTCCAGTCGTCTGGACCCTCTCGCCTCCTTGGCGGTGCGGGCTGCTCGCCCCCACCTGTTGGCGCCCGCGGCCTCCCCCTGCTTCGGCCCTCTGGCCGTTCCCTCCCGCCACTTGCGGCGTGGTCTGGTCGCGCCTGCCCATGCTGCCCACCGACGCCCCTCGGTGTCTGGCGATCCGGATCGGTTCCGTTGAGCGCCCGCATGCCGTGTTTTTCATCAGTGACGGTGGCCTGCTGTCATACGTTCCGCATCCTTCGTCCTGCCATGGGCTTGCTGTACGTCTTGCCGGCGGTCTTCTTCGTCAGGGACGTGATTGGTTACCCGAATTACCACCTGGTGATGCACGTCGCCCGGGTGGACTTCCTGGCGTGCGCTCTCCATTGAGCGGCAGCGAGGCTCGCCTCCTGTTGGCCTCTTCCCCTGCTTGGTCTTGTCTCTCTTCGCCTTCCTCTTCCCGTGCGCTAATTTAGGCCGTCGCCTCTGTGCTTCGCCCCTTGACGCCGCCCGATTGCTTCGCCGCGGTCGCGATCAAAAAATCCCCACCAGCCCAGTCGGAAACTCTGCCCATGAGAGTTGACAGGTGTAACCGAGAGATTCAAGAGGGTCGCGCCATTCCGCCGACCCCCCTTAGAATGAGGGAGAGGGAGGACTAGGAGGAGGAGGAGGAGGAGGAGGAGGAGGAGGAGGAGGAGGGGGAGGAGGAGGAAGAGGAGGAGGATGAGGAGGATAACGCTGGGGATGAGGATGAGGATGAGGATGAGGATGAGGATGAGGTTGTTGATTGTGAGGATGATGATGATTATGATGATAATGATGAGGATGATGAGGATGATGATGATGATGATGATGATGATGATGATGATGATGCTGGTAATGATGGTGATGATGCTGATGATGATGGTGATGGTGATGAGGACGAAAATGATGATGAATGTAATGATGTTGATGATGACGGTGAGGAGGAAAACGTGGAGGAGGAGCAGGTGGAGGAGGAGGAGGAGGAGGAGGAGGAGGAGGAGGAGAGGAAGAGAGGAGGAGGAGGAGGTGGAGGAGGACGACGATGGGTCGGTTTTTGAGGGGGGGCGATCCACGGCCGAGGTCCCTGCCGCCGTCCAGGGGCCGCCCGGGCCCGCGGCGCACGCCGTGCCGCAGCAGCCTGGGGGCGAAGGCGCCCCAGTGGTGGTGCCGGACGGCCAAGGCCCGACGTTGCCGTCCTGGCAGCTCCTTTGGACGCCCGAAATGGGTACGGAAAACATGGGTACGATGCCCAACGGCAGTTCCTGTTCATGAACAGGACTCGCTGTCCGCGCCGCCGCGGCTTGTGTCCATTTGAGACAGAAGGCCGCCCGCCCAACAGCGGCCTCTGTTGGTTTGGGACAACATTTGTTGTTGGGCATTGGACCCATTTTTCCGTACCCATTTCGGGCGTCCGAAGCTTCAGGTTGCCGCCACTGCCGCTGCCGCGTCGGGTCTGGGGCGGCGCCATTTATGCTTATATGCCTATTTGATATTTCTGTATGTATCGTTCACAATTGTGTATATATGTATATGAGTAATCATACAACACATATATACACATATATATATACACAACGACGATGACAATTACATTATATATATGTGTATGTGTTTATGCATATGTATATGTACACGTACGTATGCATGTATGTATGTATGCATGTATGTATGTATGTATGTATGTATGTATGAATATATATTTATATATGTGGGTCTCATCGATCTTCAGCTCTACTGCGACATGCGTACACATATGCTTTATCAATGTATGTGCATAACATGTATGCAGTTGTATGTTTTTACACCTTGATGTATATAACATAAATCTACCGCTCTACTCCGTGTTATTCCATCGCTTCGGTCATCCCGCCAGCCCTGGAACCCTCTTTAGGGCCTCTTGGGGGCCTCTTTGGGACCTCTTGGGAGTCTCTTGGGGCTCTTTGGCGGCGTCTTGGGGTTCCCCAGGGCCTCTTGGGGGGCTCTTGAGGGCCTCTTGGGGCGGGAGGGGGGGTAGTCGATTGCGGCTCCCCCCTCGGAGGCCACGATCCTCGTGAGGGGTGTCGAAAAATTGCCTGGTCCGGCATCTCTGACCCGGACCTGCCGGGACCTTGCCAGGACCTTGCCGGCCTTGGAGTCCTCTTTAGAGCCTCTTGGGGGCCTCTTGGGGACCTCTTGGGAGTCTCTTGGGGCTCCTTGGCGGCGTCTTGGGGGGCCCCGAGGGCCTCTTGGGGGGCTCTTGAGGGCCTCTTGGGGCGGGAGGGGGGGTAGTCGATTGCGAGACCTTGCCGGGACCTTGCCGGGACCTTGCCGGGGTACTTTTCGCCCAGAGACCCCCTGGGGCCGCCCCACGCGCGCGAACTATTGTTAACCAGTTACCGGAGATCTTAGCACGCCCTTGGCCCGTTGGGCGGGCGAATATATATATATATACATAGATAGATAGATAGATAGATAGATAGATAGATAGATAGATAGATAGATAGATAGATATATAGATAGTTAGATAGATAGATAGATATATAGATAGATATATATATATATTAATATATATATATATATATACATAAACAACATATATGTGTTTATATAGAATGTTATGTATGTAAATGTATATATATTGCTAAGGCTTTACGGCCAGTCCGCCGATCCTGGATACGGCGGCCCTCGAGGGTGACGGGATGAGTGATAAGACGTCGGAGGTCAATGGTGAGGAGGAGGCGGTAGGAGGAGGAGGAGGAGGAGGAAGGGGATGCATGAGGAGGAGGAGGAGGAGGAGGAGGAGGAGGAGGAGGATTGGGAGGATGGGGAGATTGGGAGGATGGGAGGGGGGAGGGGGAGGGGGAAGGGGGAGGGGCAAGCTAGGTGCGCTCGCGTCATATCTGACATCCTACCCCTCCCTCCCATCCCTTACCATGGCGTAGATCCCCTCTCTACTCGCACAGTCGGATGTCGAGCAGGGCAATGATCCCGAAAGGGTACGCGATGCATTGTAGAGCACGGCATGGCATGGCGTAGAAGAGCACCGCAAAGCGTAGTATCAACCTAGCATTGCATTGCATGCCGTGGCATGGCACGGGAAATGACGCCAGCGCTGCAGCGGGAGCACGAGTCGAAACGAGCGGAAGCGCGGAAATGAGGCCAGCGCTGCAGCGGGAGCACGATTCGGAACGAGCGGAAGCACGGAAATGAGGCCAGCGCTGCAGCGGGAGCACGATTCGGAACGAGCGGGGCCCGAAAATGAGGCCGGCGCCTCAGCGAGAGCAGCATTTTGAAAAACAAGTGCAGGCGAAAACCCAACTCCGGGGAAACCTGTGTAAAAAAACAGTACACGGAGGGTGGGTCGGACACTTTCCAACCGTCATCAGGGGAAGAGGGAGAGTAGTGTTCATATTGAGTAATTGTGGAGGGGTTTGGAGGGGGAGGAGGAGGAGGAGGAGGCGGAGGAGGAGGAGGAGGAGGATGAGGAGGAGGGAGAGGAGGACCGAGCAGCAGGAGGAGGAGGAGAGGAGGAGGAGAGGACTAGGAGGAGGAGGAGGAGGAGAGAGGAGGAGGAGGAGAGGAGGAGGAGGAGGAGGAGGAGGCGGGATGAGGAGGGGAGGGAGGAGGAGGAGGAGGAGGAGGAGAGAGGAGGAGGGAGGCGGGGGAGGGGGAGGGAAGAGGGGAGGGAGAGGGTCGCCCGGGGGATGCGTATCGCCCCCCCCCCCCCCCCCGGTGGGGAGGGTAGGGAGGGGCTTCGCCACGACTACAATTTCCTGCTGTTTCGTGTTCGATTTCCTTTTACTTCGGGCGACGACGACGACGACGGTGATCCACGCAAGACGACGACACCGGGATGCGTCTTCAACACGCCGACAGGGTCGGCGGATACATACATACAATATATATATATAAGTATATATGTATATATGTATGTTATTTATATAAACACAAGTATACTCACACATTTATATATACATATATGTGTATATATATATAATATATATATAATATATATATATATATAATATCAGAGTGGGCCGGGGTGGGGGCTGGCCGCTGCCTGCACCCCCCATGGGGCCCCCGAGTGGTTCTGGGGTGTCCCAGAGCTTCCGAGACGGCCTGGGCCCGCCCCGAAACAGGCCACGACAGGCTAAGGGGGTCTCAAGAGCGCCCTAGACAGTCCCACTAGGCCTCGAAGACGCCCAAGATGCCCTCAAGACGGCCGATGAGGACTCCAACGCGCTCCAGGACGGACTCAAGAGGCTCCCCTCCCCAAGAGGGCCCTGGGAGGCAAAATTGATTCATTTTCAAAGGGTGCGTTCTCGCTTTTCCCGCCTCCCAGCGCTCTCTCACGGCCTCGGAGGCCGTCATATCGCTCCAAGACGGCGCACGAGGCCCCGACGAGGGCCCCAAGACGGCCCAGGAGGCTCCCCAGACAACCCATATGAGCCCCAACAGCGCCCCCCAAGAGGGGGCCCAGAGGGGGACCGCGAACCGATAATTTCGAGGCCCCCAGGCCCCCAGTAGGCCCCCAGAGGCCACCAAGAGACTCCCACGAAGTCCCGTGACACCCCCAAGGGGCCCCCAGGGAACGCCCAAGAGGCCCCCCAACACACCCCAACAAATCATGTCCCCAGAAAGCCTTCCGGAGACATGTTTCATCATGGGCCCGGGAGTCTCTAGAGGCTCGGAAGTACCATCGCGCTACCGGAGAGCTGTCTGGGAAGTTGACCGGGAATATGATTGATCGCCTTCTGGCGGCCCTCCGCGGATCGTTTCGCACAAAGTTGCCCCAATTGCCCTCGTGAGCTGACGGCGACGATGACGAGGACGACGAAACGACGAAGACGAGGACGAGGACGACGACGACGGCGAGCCCCAAGAGGCGACGACGACATTACGACGACGACGACGTCACGCCGCAAGACGCCCCAAAAACCCATGTTCCCAGAAGGTCTTCTGGGAATCCGATTCGTCAGACCTCCGCCCCCCTACGCAACCATCTTCCCCGAAAGCCTTCCGGAGTGTGGGTTGACATGCATGGACTTCTCATTTTACTACTACAGTTGAGCAGTGAACTCGTCAACTCCTGGGGCCTGCTAGAACGTGAGCGCGCGTGAAGCGAGCGATGGTTCTAGTATATATATATATACACATAGATATGTTTATGCAGGTACCGGCACATTGATCTAGGGCCACTTCCCCGCAGAGTTGGTCGAATATTGTTGTGTGTGTGTGTGTTTATGCCTTCAGCCGTCTTTGCTCAAACTAGTTTGTGGATCAGCCACCACACTCCTTTTTCGTTCCCGAGATGGATGTGCGGAGAGATCGACGAGCTGGGAGCTGGTCTGATTCAGAGCTACCTGGCGAGCTGCTCTCGGTGCCCAGTGCACCGATGCCCTGACTGCCACTGCGGTCGGTGCCCCCCAATCCCAGCTTGCCCGGCGTGCCCAGGCGCGCCAGTGCCGCCACCAGGGGCGGCGGAGGTGCAGCTCGAGTTCGGGCTGCCGTGGAGCTGGGCGCTCGTGCTCTATAATGGAGGGGGCGAGCTGTAGCGTACGTGCTCTACAATGGAGGGGGCAGCTGGAGGAGCCGACTTACGCGTGGGCGTACGTGCTCTACAATTGAGGGGGCGAGCTGTGGCACCGGAGGCGACGCATCGCGACCTCAAGGGTGTCATGGGTGACTAATTACGTCTTGACCCCAGATGGGGACTGCTATTCGGAAAAATACGACCTGGAGGACATCAGCATCGCGGCCGTGAGATGCACCGTTGCGCGCTGGCCGCTGGCGCTGGGCAGCGTGTACCAGTTCCGCGCGGGCCGAGCCAGCAGGAGTGAGACGACGCTGCCGACAAGGCGGATGCGATTGGGAGACTGGATCATCGTGCTCGCGAGGCCGCTGCCGGGCGAGACCCTGCCGTGGTGCCTGCCGGGGGCTACATCGACTGCTGGTGATCGTGGTGGCAGCGGCGGCGCCGGCGCCAGCTGTCGGCTGCGAAGCTCCCGCCGTCGGTGGAGGAGGAGGCGCGGCGGCCGCTGGCGGCCCTCGGCGCGTCGGCGCGTCGGTGGGGGCTGCTGGAGGCGGCGGCGCAGCTGGTGGCGCCTACGGCGGACGAGCGGATCAGACCCTGGTGTTTGTGGTCGTCGAGACGAGCTCGCTCCGCCGCCGCGGGGAGGAGATGGCGCTGCCGGCTGGGGCCACCGTGATCGGGGCGAATGCCTTGGCCCTGCAGGTGGACGGCTCGGTCCTCACACTGCGGCAGATGAGATGGTGTTACGTGCGAGGCTGGATGGGGGCCGAGGCGACGGGCGACGCGAGGATCCTCGGCGTCACGATCGACGGCCTCGGGCGGCAGCGGTCCCAGTGGCGCGACATCGTAGGCAAATCGAGCGTGATCGAGTTCGCGGACTGGCCCGTGGAGGGCCCGCGGACGGCCGAGTGGCGCATGCTCTTCCTGAACCGCCGAGGTGGGGGCCCAATGGGTCACCATCGATATTTCGTGATGCTGCATGGCTTTGAGACGGGCGACCAGGGCGTCGAGACGCACGGGATATGCTTGAAGGCGGTGGAGGAGGCTGGAGGCCATGACCACCTGGAGCTGTGCAACTTGTTGAGTTTCGAGGTGCTTTTCCGGCAGGCCCAGGTCGTCGAGTATGTGTATGAGCAGGGTCGGGTCGCTTAGATCACATGTGGGGGCAATTGCATGAGGGGCGCTGGCAAGGGCGCCAGGATGCTCGACGAGTCGTTGGCGTTCACTGGGCAGCATCGAGATTCGGGAGTTGTCAAGCAAGTCGAACGGGATGAGAATATCATGAAGCAGGTGAGGAAGGCTCGCGAGGAGCGCCGGGCCCTCACCGCCAACGACAACGAGGATGCGCATGCGAGGTCGGGAGTTCCCGCCCCCTCGCACCCGCCGCGGGCTGGATCAGTTGGCGACAGGGGTGGAGGTTAGCCTCCAGAGTTTTGCAGTGTCGATCGTGGGCGTCGAGTGGCTCGCGAGCTTCTTCCGCTTCCTCTGCCTGCTGATCGCTCGCCTCTCTCTGAGCTGGTGGTGGTGCTGCTGCTGCTGAGCTTATTATGATAGTGTTGAGGATGACGATGCTGATGATGACGATGATGCAGATGATGACGGTGATGCTAATGCGGATGCTGTTGTTGATGATGTTGTTGTGGTTGTGGTTTTGGTTATTGTTGTTGTTGCTGCAGATGTAGGTGGTCATGGATATGATATTGATTATGCTTCTCGTGATGATGATGCCGATGATGCTCATGATGCTGATCGTGATTGCGATAATGATATCGGGACGATAATGCGAATGCGGATGATGGTGATGCTGGTGGTTGTGATAATGATGATGCTCATGCTGGGGATGATTATGATGACGATGATGGTGATTGTGGTGGTGATGATGATGACGATGACGATGATGCTGATGACGATGATGATGATGGCGAGGCTGGTGATGGTGAGGGGGAGGACGAGGGGGAAGAGGAGGAGGACGAGGAGGAGGAAAAGGAGAAGGAGGAGGAGGAGGAGGAAGAGGAGGAGGAGGAAAACGAGGATGAGGAGGAGGAGGAGGAAGGAGGAGGAGGAGGAGGAAGAGGAGGAGGAGGATGAGGAGGATGAGGAGAGGAAAAGGACGAGGATGATGATGCTGATGATGATGCTGATGATGATGATGCTGATGCTGACGATGATGCTGATGCTGATTGTGATTATGATGATGACGGTGGTGATGCTGCTGATGCTGATTACGATGATGATGAGGACGATTATTTTCATTATGCTGATGATGATGGTGATGATGATGATGATTATGATGCTGATGATGATGCTGTTGATGATGATGATGGTGGTGGTGGGGGTGATGATGATGTTGATGATGCTGCTGATGATGTTTATGATGGTGATGATGACGATGACGATGATGATGATATTGATGATGATGATGGTGATGATTATGATGACGATGATGATGGCGGTGATGATGGGGATGATGATGATTATGATGATGATGATGATGATGATGATTTTGATGATGATGAAGATGGTGATGCTGATGATTATGACTGTGATGCGGCTGATCATGATGGTGATGTTGATGATGATGTTGATGATGATGATGATGGTGATGGTGATGATGATGATGATGATGATGATGATGATGCTGATGATGATGATGATGATGATGATGATAGATTATGCTGCTGCTGATTATGATGATGATGCTGATGGCGGTGATGATGCTGATGATGATGATGAGGATGAGGATGAGGATGATGACGATGATGACGATGATGATGATGATGATGACGCTGATGATGACGAAGATGATGATGCTGCTGATGATGCTGATGATGCTGATTATGATGATGATGACGATGATGATGATGATGATGATGATGATGATGATGATGATGATGATGATGATGATGATGATGATGATGATGAGATTGATGATGATGATGATGATGATGATGATGATGAATATGATGATGATGATGATGATGATGA